GTTGTACGAAAAGTTGCAATGGTTTTTCTTATCCTTTTCTGTTTTCCTTTCTCATCTTCTCATCGCGAGATCGGTCATTTTAAATTTCAAAAAAAATCAAATTCACGCTCTCGAATATACTCACACACTTAAAGAAAGTGACCATTTAAACTTGTGCACATAGCACAGAATAAAACCGCACTCTGTGGACATAGCGCACCGACATGTCGCTCGTGGACTGACTGCGTAGTTCCAATGTGTACCACCTGTGGACATGCGGTAGTTTACGGGACGGAAAAGTGATTACACATTCTCTTATAGATCTGGTCGTTCTCAGGCTTCTTTCTGATTTAATCATAGACATATAAGAAATAGACTGCGCGTCCCGTATCTTTTCTGTGCAGAAAGAATGGTCAAACTTCGGACGAGGATAGATGCTTTCACCCGAGTCTCTATCCTTGTTTAGTGACGCGGTGATTGGCGGACAAGAAAAGTAGTAGGAATGAGAAATAGCGTAGTGGGGCAATAGAGGAGCATCGAGCGATGAAGGGGCGACAGTAGGCGATTGACAACATAGACATTCTATGGAGTTGTCTTCCGAGTGGGGAGTCCCCACTCCAGGTGCTGAAAGACAGAGACAGAGACTCGGGTGAAAGCATCTGTCTCACTCCGAAGTTTGACTCACTTCCCCTCTCACACGCGCAGTCTATTTCTTATACATCTATGGATTTAATGCTATCTACATAAAGCCTGTTCTACAGTGATCGCAAACGCAAACGCAAGGAACAGGTCTCGTAGAATTGACTAATCGTATTGATCAAATCAGCCAATTGACCAACGTGATTGATCAATTCTACGAGATCTATTTCTTGCGTTTGCGCTTGCGATCAATGTAGAACGGGCTTTATGTAAGTTTATGTTTGTATTTTTCTGCCTCTCTATCGCGTGACGTCACGCTGTGGCACTTTCCATGACAACGCTGTTTACAGGTTTGTTCTTTTTACCTGAACTGGCTGCACTAGTTCAGAGTTTCATCTCTTTCACTTCACATTGGAAGAAGAAAAATAAACTCTGAACTAACATAGCCAAATCAGGTAAAAAGAACAGACCTTACATGTCATAACTTTCCTGTCCCCTTTTTTGCTTCGCTCACGCGTCACTTCCGCTGCCGCTTACCACGCCATCCGGAACGTTCGTCATTCGCCATTTTCTCGTCGTCGTTTGTGGGTGAACGTGCGTTTGGACTCGGGCAGCCGGCTATCGGCTCTTTGATTCTAGGTGAATTTGCGCGAACCGGTGCAAAAATTTGACTGATTTGTGACATTAATAACTCAAGATGAGTTACGGTAGACCGCCGCCCCGTATTGATGGGATGGTCTCTCTGAAAGTCGACAATCTCACGTACAGGACAACGCCAGAAGATCTGAGGCGCGTGTTTGAGAGGTGCGGCGAGGTCGGCGACATTTACATTCCTCGTGACCGCTTCACGCGCGAGAGCCGCGGCTTCGCGTTCGTCAGGTAGGCATCTTGCGTCCCGTTTCCCACGACCGAAAACTTCTCCCGCTGACTCAGCGGATGTAAACGTTCAATGGCTATTCCCGACCCTCTGGGAAAGTTTGAATGCGTGGACGCCAACGTTAATAGTGACGTCATGAACATGCTAATTCGCGCCGCATTGTTTTTCTGTGCGCACACATTTCTTATTATGTGGACGAAGTTATATGTGAAACATAAAAAAAAATAAGTTTCTCAAAAAGTCGGTCGAAATTTTTTGTTAATAGCGTTACTCCAGTTTCACATATGGCAGTTTCATATTTTTTGTGCTCAAGAATTGTAGGTTTTTTTTTTATAAACACTTATTATATAAATATATGTGTGAGTATACAAATATTATGAATAGATCACTTCAAAATTATTAAAAGTTGTAAAATGGCTGTTATGTGTGCAAAAAAATTGAAAAATTAGTTGCATATTATAACGTGTATAGAATCTTTTTAGATTTTATGATAAGCGCGATGCTGAAGATGCATTGGACGCCATGGACGGAAGACTGTTAGATGGAAGGGAGCTCAGAGTTCAAATGGCTCGATATGGACGTCCGACTTCTCCTCATCGTAGTCGCGGAAGTCGTCGTCGAAGGTTAATATTTATTTTAATCTGAAAGATATCGTTAATTAACAAAAATACTATTGATCTTTTGTCGCATATGGTATAGTTTTAATTTGTATATAAAAAGTATGAAAAAACATTTGTAGATCACGAAGTAGAAGTAGGGATCGCCGGCGTTCTCGATCTCGCTCACGCAGTAGATCTCGTAGTCGTGACAGAGATCGAAGACGTTCGTACAGTCGAAGTCGCAGTCGCTCCCGTTCGGATAGCAAAAGTTCCCGTGGCAAGTCACGCTCACGCAGCAAGTCTCAAGATAGGCAAAAAGACAGTCGTTCTAAATCCAGGTAAGAATTTTTCATTGCAAGAATAAATCGTCAGGATTTCCAGAGACAGTGTTGAACTCTTGCTGGTCTATTCTGTAACTTTGTTACGCATGCGTAACGCAAACATAAAACGTATGTTATGAATCTTTGCGCAGACAAAACGTGTGACAAATTTTAACTGCGCGAATATAACGAACATTTCTTTAATAGTTACAGAATAGAGCTGGATTTTACTACCCTTAATTTTATTGTAAACATTGTTTTTAGGTATGAATCCTGTAAACTCTGAACATCTATGTCTAACAATGTTACAATTTCTGATTAAAACGACGCAAAATTTCTGTAAAAATTCATTGCGCTTTATTATTCAACATTTTATATTAAAGAAACATTTATTTTGATAAATTTGTTTTTTATTTTTTTTTTTTTTTGAAGACTCACTAAATAGGTAATAAGATATCATTTTTAATTATTTCTCGAACATCAATGTCCTGGATTTATAGTAGTAGAATTCTAATTCGATCGTTTCTCGCACGTGTGTTCAGGGACTGAGGTGATGGAGAAGAAAGAAAATTGAAGATCAAGAATGAATACGCGTGCGTCAATCGAGAGGCGAATAATCTGTGTTGAGATCGAAAATAAAAGGTATTTCATCACCTTCTATAGCAACACTGTCGCACGCTTCTTCACGTTCTTCTATCATTTAAATACCATTACATATATACAAATATTATATGCATACGTATATTTGAATTATTATTATATATATACATATATGTATCTCTCTTCGACTCCGAGTTGCGATTCGTTTCTCTAACACTTTTTTCCTACGTGCTTCTTCATTCGTGCTATAATTATTTTTGTTGTACAACAGTTCATCATTACTCTTGTTTTACAATGATTTATTAGAATTCTATTCGCGTCATCTAATTGTAGATCATACTTTGAATAATTTATCAAGGAATTAAGTCAAACAATGAAATTTATGACATAAGATTTGTGTATTGTGTTTTACAAGAGACCATACAACATGTAATGTTTATTGTTTTTCATGAGTAAAGATTGATGTAAAATATACGTGAAGAACAACTCTTTTGATATTTGTGGAAAGATTAATTTTTATTTCACAACAGTCGGTAAACTGTTCCAAATTGTTTAGCGCGGAAGATTATACTATCTTTTGTCAAAACAAAGTTTATACAAAACCACGGCTTTCTCTTGCATGAGAAGGAAAGCATTACCGTCGGTTTTCAAACTTATTTCTTATTTTGTACACGTGTATACACAGTTTGAAACTTGATTAATTGGGCAATCATTTTCGAACAAGTTAAAAGATTGTAAATATTTCCAACTGTTTGGAAAGGTATTCTCAAAGATTATTCCAACACATCTCTAAGATACTTCGAAACATACGACTTCATGTTTGTTCTTGAGATCGAAGTATTTTATCTTAAAGTCAATTGTTCGATTGCTTGTGTTCAAAACTTTAAAAACTATTTCAAAAACAATAAAGAACTGCACTCTCGTTAGAAAACAAACGAACTCGTGGAAGACACTAGTATGTATATTAATTTACTTCTTTGATAGATCAAGAAATTTTGTCACATTTGATTTTGACAGAAGTTCGCTAGCTTTGTTAGGCTTTAATTTGGTATTTTTTTTGCTGTTTGCTGGCTCAGCAAATAGAGTCTAAAAAAAAAAAAAGAGAGAGAAAAAATGAATCGAAGTTACTTCACACACATGAAAATATATTTCTAGAAATAAGGTTTGCGTTTCTTGATAGGTAATAGCTCATGTAAATCCGCACATGATAGACTCATTTGTAATAAAGCGCAGTGAACTGCTAACGAACGGAACCATCTTATATATCCCTTGTTTTTCCTTCGTGGAGTTTTATACATGTAACGTTTGTATCTAAGTTTTTCATGGCAGTATAACTTTTTTATGATCGAAGCTATTATTTTTAGGAAATAATAAAGCGCAAATAATATTATCGCACAAGAGAGATAGAATTTATTAGAATATAAAGTCTTCTTAGACAATTAATGAAATAGCTGTTACTGCTTTATTCAGCTTTTTTAGCCTGAAGAATAACTTCTTATTGATTTTGCACAGCGGTATTAAGTTAATAAAAGAAAAACATTTAAACAATGATGAGAGGTAAGGGAGGTTGTTCTCGAGTTCGTTGTGGTGAATCTAAAAATTCAAATATATGTCAGGCAAATACGAACTAATTGCCGGATGCAATAAGTTACTAAAATCTCAATGACTCTTTAAAACAACGTCAAAATATGTTACCAATAAATTACAAAATTATGAACATCAGAGTTAACAAAAAAAAAAAAAAAAAACGACAAAAACGTAAATATGTATAGACGTCTATACATATGTGTTTGATGTTTATAATTCGTTGCACATATCAGAGACAGATATCTTTGAATTTAATGACTTTATGATATGGAAACTCTGAAGAGTTTCAGTTGGGTTTATTTTCTTACGTAAGTTATGCCAATTTGTTTTTTATTTTCGTTTTTTTTTTAATTTATTGATATATGTTTTGACGTTGTATCGTGATTCAGCTATTCACATTTGAATAAAGCAATGTAAATTAGTTTCCATTTGCAAAGAATTCCGTTCGCAATCAAGTTCTGATAGTATGTTTGATACGTAGTTTTTAAATCATTGAGATTTCAGTAAAATTTAACATCCAACAATCAGTTCGCATTTGTCTATTTGTCTATTTACGATTATACAATTTACAGTTGAGGCAAAAACCTGATACAATTACTTTTTTTACTCGGTACGTCATATGTAACATTCATAATGCAAAACAGTGTGGATAAGCGAAAAATATAATTTTAAATCTACCAAAAATTTTGACATTTTATACTCTCAGCAAAACGTTATTATATACATACATATATATATCGTATATGTTATTTACACATGTGACAATGTGAGAACATAAGTATTTGCTGGCAATTAGCTGGCTCTTGAAATTGTTGCATCTTTTAGATATCTACGAGGCAGAAGCTTGTAAATCCTTGGATTCAGGGATGATTCGCTGCGAGGTATTGAATTAGTTTTTCGCGAAGGGCTCGTAAATCGCGTGTATTTTATAAAATTTTCAGAGTCAAAATGTGTGTGAAATCGATATCTTTGACGTGAGAAACGTGTATTAAAAACTTTTACGTGATGCAATCACTCACGCAAGTACAGAAAAGATATTCGCGTTAAAAATGCATATAAAACGTCGGTCGACGGTGGAATCGTCGCCTGTTGCATCAAAATCTAGAAGATATCGGTTTTCAATTGGACATTTTGACTGTGATTATCCTTCATATTCCTATTTATTCCCACTTGTATATCCTCACAGCCTTGTAAGAAGTAAATAAAAAAAAACTACTCTCTCTCACACACGGATGCGACACATATGTTCTTTGATAACTAAGTTGTGATTTTATGGTGCCACAGGCGGTGGAAAGGAGTGGCGTGGGCGTGTAGCAGATGATAGCTGCGAGTAAGCAGAACTAAGCCAGTAGCAGGGGGCTGTAAGCAGTTTGCCGTAGCGAGAAAGAAAGAGAGAGAGAGCGGTGTTGGTGGTGCGGTTGATGCGGTGCAATGCGGTCTGTTCCGGTCCGACGCGGTGCGCTCCGAAGGTCTGGTGATCCCGTGTTTCGTTCAAGGCAGGTTTGCGAGTGAGAGGGAGAGCGAGAGCGAGAGCGAGAGAGAGAGGAGAGAGAGAGAGAGAGAGAAAGAGAAAGAGAGAAAGAAAGAGTAAGAAAGATCAGGGCAAAAGAGTGAGAAAGGGAGAGAGGGGAAAAAGGTAATTGAATGGTAAATGATAGGAAGAGGGAGTAGATCTGCCAGTTCATCCGCAAGTTACGAAAACCATCGCGAACATCCGCTGCTGGCTTCCTCGAACGTCGTCCGGTCGTGTGATTGGCGCAGTGTTCGGGTTCTGTCATGACGTGACACAGACCATCACCAGACCTCGCGAAAAAGAGAAGCGGCTGAATTCATAGAACGTCATGTTCATCGATCCGATCATCGGTAAACGGAGTCACGTGACACGGTAAACTATCAGTAGATCACAACATACGTAAAACACATACACACCTTGTATTTCGGAGAGTGGCAGCTCTAAAACAAGTATAGTCTATTCTCAAACAGGGAAAACACTTCATTCGATCTAGTCTAACACACATTTTTGACAGAACTTCGATTCGCGCGATATTGCTCTTTCCTCATCGCAAGGTCTTTTTTATACTAATTTTTTTTTTTTTTTTTTTATTTGTTTTTTTTAAGTATGAGTCAATTTATTTGTTACTTAAAACTATTGTCAAACATCTTATCAAAATTGACACTAAAAATTGTCGCGAATATTAAGTTTTTAACTTGATCTTTTGATACTTCGCTCGTTTTGCTTAAACATAGAGCTGCCTTCAATCGCGCTTATCCCGTTTTATATTTATCGAAGTTGTTTACAGAAAATGCTTTATTTAGATAGTGAATTAAATTTGGAAAAAAGATGCATATCGAAACGATTTTTATACATTTTACATTATTTCTCAATCATCCTGGATAATCGACGTACATCGCGGCCGGTTCTACGAGGCCGTTTATCGTCTTCGGCGCCAAACACCAAAGCCAAAGAAAAAGCCAGAAGACACATAATTTCTTGGAAAAACAAATTTCCCGCCAGTGTTTCTTCTAGATCTTTTTTGCAGATGTACATGAGTGTTGGTCGTCAGCTTGTAAACAGGTTACAAGCGAATAAAATGTAAGTATTTGTAATGTTAAGATATTTTAGCAGTTTCGTAAAATATCATCGTATATATAAATAACAAATGACGTACAGTGGTGGATTATGGAGATGTGCAAGGATCAAATAAACTTTGATATCAAGTAGAGAAATAGACTTTTTATTGTTATTCTTCTTGATTCTTACTGACATGCTCGTACATCGGTTTTGTTTTGTTTTGTTTACATTCTTACATAAACAAACTGTTTTTGTTTTTCCCCAGTAAAAAAGACCCTCTGTAAATATTTTAGTTACTTTTCTTAGACTCTTCCTTGTTACGTCCTTTCAGGAAAACAATCCTCGATATCCGTAAAATCAGATATATCAAAAGTCCTAAAATATGTCCGGCAAAATATATACTCTTGTAGAAATGTATTACTTCTTGGAAGCGCAGTAATAGGAACGGCATGCCGAGATACGCCATACATGTGAGTTTTGCCCACCATAAGAACACACTCCAAGCTTTCCTACCCTGTGTTTGATCACGAAAAAAAAAAACCGATGTAATTGTGGTTTATATGTGTCGTCGCGTGTGTATACACAATTTAGAAATGACAAACAACTCACGATTCCATTCTCCTTGCATCGATTGTAAAACTTCATGCTCGTATCTTCAATGGGTAGATAAAGTGGAATTTGACAAATGCAAAAGTAATAGCCCGCAGCATAACCATGCCACAGAGCAGAAAGAGCCATCGTGGCTATAGTTCGGAAACTTTTATAAGGAAATCTCTTATATATACAGATAGCCATCCAATATTGAACGCATGTATTCCACATTTTCATTGTGTGCCTAACGAATGGAGAAACCTCCACTCCCCAGATATTCATGTTGTGTACCGTTTCAAAATCTTGAATTTCTTTTTTTGCTGTTTCATGGTCGGCTGATCTAAAAACAAAATTACATTTATAAGTCGTTTCATTTTTTTTCTAATAATTATGCATATTAAAATCAATTATTTACATATCAAGAGAGTAACATATCAACAATAAATAATGTGATTATATTTGACATTTGATGCTCTTGCGGTGTATTATAAAAATTTCCGAAGATGGTTATTTTGTCATTTTTTGATATCGCCGTTTCGTGGACATTTAAATTCACTTCACTAGAATTTTATATTCAGAGAACTTACCGTATCGGTACTACTCCGAATCCTGTGAAATATCAAAAACGTCGATGAAAAAAATGACAATAACACGAACTCAAACTCGAAAATCATTTTCAGGAATGTGATTGTGTATAATTAAATCTAATCAAAACAATTTAATAAGATATATAAAGAAGCGGCTTGCCAAATATCATCTTAGAGAACGATACGATTACATATAAAAGTGAATATGACAAACAAAATCTGATCTTACAGTTTTTCTACTATTTTGTAATCGCGTGGGCCCAAACCAGGTGTGGGCTGGCTGCAAATCGGATAAGCTCCTAGTCCTGACATTTGACACACGCATTCAGCCAGAGCCATGCCGCTGTGCATTCTCATTCGAAAGACTGCGAAAGCGGGATACATGTAGAAAAATCTATACAGGAAACAATGCTCTTCGAACTCTACTGTTTGGGTGTACTAAAAACGAGAATAGTTTTGTCAGCATTAACATACGTAAGATCATTTTTCAGTTTTGTTTTTGGTTTTTTCATTAGATCCAAAGTTCATTTCTATAAAAATAATGTATGAAAAAACTTCTATATACTCATGCTCTTTGAATTGTGACTTAACAAGACTTACATCACTTGGAAAATAATGATTCAATGTCAGAAATAGAACAATAAATGCCGCGACTTGCTTCAACTTGTAATAGGTGAGTGGCCACGGATCGGCGTACTTGAAAAATGGCCTGTGCAAGGAGTCCCAGTACGTTCTGTAACGATAATATGGACCTGCAAACATTGAATATGTCGAAAATGCTGTGTGACACTACTCTCGCGTTCTGTGTTATCTTCAAAATTTCGTTAATTCACATCTCACCTGTCAGAACGCCCATGTAACCGAAACTGTAATGTATCACGTCCATGAAACTGATGTTTTTGAGCGCATCGGAATTATCGCTATGCTTGTCGTCGTCCGAAGCCGTGGCCGCCAGATTAATTTCGTACGCCAGTCCTGGTAACTTCAGCGTGAGGATCATCATGACGAGATTCGTGTGAGTCGGTGGAGTCGATAATCCGAAATTGTCACCCAGCCGGAAGATTACCAGTAAGTAGAAAAATGAGAAGAACAGGCTTGCCAGATGACATTTTCTGCAAAATAAAAGTTCGAGTCTGTCCTCAATACACAAATGATTACGCGCGGTTACACAGTGTTCCGGATTTAGAAGCACTTGGATAATTTTGGTTGTTGTCTGTTCTTATTATTTGTTTTTTTTTTTTTTTTTTTATGTTCTATTAGATTTACGATATAGTAACGCCGCGATCTTACTCGATACAAATAAATTTTTTTTTTGATAAAAAGACTGATATATATTATCGATATCTCCTGATAAAGTTCAACATGATTTTATTTTCACACATTTTTTTTACATTTAACAATTTTATACATTTTTATAATAAGTAATTTACCGCAGACATATATATTGCTCACGTGATTTTTTCTCATTCTAGATTACTGTTTGCTGCTTGAACTATACATGTGCTAATTGTTACATTTTAATTTTAGACGCCTCGCCGATCAACACAACTTTTTTCGCGTACTTCAAAAATTTTTAGCGTGTAATTTTCTTAACGCATCGATGTTTCTCGTTTGTTCTCGGAATATTCAACGCGAAACAGTCAATGTGCTTATTATGCACATCGAAAACTCTGCACTTTAATACTAATGACTCGGTAGTTTTTTTTTATCATTCGTATCATTCTCAATAACTCGTGGAAAAATGCTCTAAGTAAAAACGCGCAAGAAACTCGTGTTTTTTTAATTAAAATTAGCTGTTGTCATCAAGTCTCAATTTGTTGAGTGCGATAATTTATCCTCTTTATTTTCGATATAGCGTTTGAATAGTGTTATATAAACCGATATTGCACTTTCTAGTTTGTGGTTTTAATTCAATAACACACGTACGCGGAATTGAATATTCACGATAACTTGTTCGAATTTATCATTATTGTCTTGCGCGAGCGTATGAGAAACACAAATAATCACGTACACATATATACGCATCAAAGCCTTAATTGACCCGATTAACAGTATTCTCGCTACTTCGAGACGTTTGCTTCTTCGATTTATTAATTTAGAAGAGCTTTCGCAAGATCAATCAATTTTAAAAGTCTCGTCAATCGGTGTCAACATTTAAACGTGGGCGGGTGTTTAAAAGAATTAGCTCTAATTAGTCTTTAATCAATCATTTTTTAATTGATCGAGCAATGTGAAACGAGTTCAACAATTTTTAAATCGATTTCTTTTTTGTTTTTCTTTTTTTTTTAAGAAGAGAATAACGTTAAACTCACTGGTTGCTTTTTACACTGTGTGCGACAAAATATAATATGTCTACATATATACATACATAATATATTCAGAGTCGGATCGATGTGCGTGACTCTCGTTAAATTAAGAGTCGCAGTCGGTCTTGAATTCGAATCCGGATTATAACATTGGAATTTTTTTTTTCGAATTGATCTGCCTTTTTGGAAACCAAAACCCGAACTGTACAACCCGAGGTATCTGTCGCATGTGCATTTGTCAAAAAAAAACATCATATCACGTAAGATTTTTACGTAGGTAATCAGTGAGGAATGCGCTTGTTGACCTTGAGTCACAATTAAAAAAATCGAAACAATTTTAATACATGATCGTACTTCCACGACAGGCTGGTTATGAGAACGGCATTGACGACGACTGTGATAATAGGGTGAAAAACCGCCACTCCAGAAACACAAGTCACTAATACGAAGCCGAGAAGCGTCGCGGCCCATTGTTTCGTGTGTACATCTTGTATTTTACGGTAATAAGGACCGACCGCTACCGACAACAGCAGCAGCAGTGCGTACACTACATCGTTCCAGAACATAGTTATTTGCGAATAAGCGGGAAGACAATGTGCAACTGATGCGCCCGACAGTCCAACGCATGTTCGACCCCGACTTCGAGCCGACGAGGCTGCTGTGTGTGATTTAATCGCGAATTTTCACGTACGCGCTCCAACGACCACTTGGTGCGCTAGCATCGTTTTTGTTGAACGAATAAAGTTCATCGTTTCTGTAATAATTTAAATTTTTGAGAAAGAGAGACTAAATGAATGAATGTTAGCTTTAAAATGCGCTCCGAATTAACATCATGCGGATTACGCAAAAAAGTAAAAAATTACACTCAAAACTATATGAAATTTATATAGTTACATAATGACTCATACCCACATAACGTTCATTAGACGTCTAATGGACGTTCATGTAACGTCTAATGAATATTTAATAGTTGACGTGTGGACTACCTCTTACGTTTACTGAGCCGTACCTACATCAAACATCTAATCTTCTAATGGAAGTTTGTATAGAATGTTGTGTAGTTAATACTTAAAAAAAACTCTGTTAACAAAAACTAGGAATAACAAAACTAATAAACATCAATACAAAATAATAAAGCAAAGTTTGAAAATACATAATAAAGATACAATGAAAAAAGAAACAAGGAAAATCAGTTTCTTCAGTTTGAAAAATAGAAAAGAGAAAAATAAATATAAAATGCATTGTTCTAACCGTTGTATGTGTACTGAAATTTGAAAACAAAAATAAGCGACGCGAATACGAAGAAACTGACATTTGATTTGTTTGGTTTGCTTATCTTTCGGGCGCTTTCCAGATACGTACACAGGCGAAACTGTGTAAAACAGTATCCATTAGTGTGAGAAAGAGCGTATCAGTGTCTTACTTACACTAAGGCTGCTTTCCTTTTGGGAGACACAGTCGAGACAAGAGTCATTCTGTCTTTGTTTCTCACCGAATACTGAACAAAGACAGTATGACTTTTGTGTCGACTGTGTCTCCTAAAAGGAAAGCAGCCTAAGTAGTCGACACTGTGTTACACAGTGTGTCGCCTGTGTACGTAGCTGCAAAGCACCCTTTATATTCAATATGCTTATCTCTGTAATTGACGTGACGCTCGCGAAGAAAAGATAATAGAATTTTTTTGATAAGATTGAGAACTAACAGTTTCCTTTATACTCCTAAAGATATGCGTTTGTTTTGCATTTTGGCGATGTAACAATGTGTAATGTATCGTGTTCATGTTGTGTTTTGATTGACGTCCAATCACGCGTCCAGTGATAAATCGCCACTTCTAACAGATAAAAAAAGCTTTTATCTCGACGGAGCGATTACATTGTCTGCGTTCCGATATTCACTGCCAGTACTGAAAATCTATACTTCACGTCACATGTACTATAGATTTCCAGACTGGCAGTGAATATCGGAACGCAGCTATTGTAGGTTGCATCTCTCGATATTGCCAGAATTAAAACTCTATACTTCACGTCACGTGCTATAGATTTCCAGTACTGGCAACTGAACATCGCAACCATAGTTTATAATAAATTTATCTCCATGATATATCCCAAAATTGGTTTTTTTTTATTGATTCTCAGAGGAATTTATTCAGAGGATAGCTATCGAGAGGTATGAAGAAATCGGCCGTCAGTGGACCTAATTGAATTAGTTCATACGCCATTCTAGGAACTTATAGGCTGCTTTCCTTTTAGAAGACACAGTCGACACAAGAGTCATTCTGTCTTTGGCTGCTTTCCTTTTAGAAGACACAGTCGACACAAGTCGGCACAAAAGTCATTCTGTCTTTGTTCGGTATTCAGTGAGAAACAGAGACAGAATGACTCCTGTGTCGACTGTGTCTCCTAAAAGGAAAGCAGCCTTTGTCTCTCACTGAATACTGAACGAAGATAGAATGACTTTTGTGTCGACTGTGTCTCCTAAAAAGAAAGCAGCCATAGATAACATTAGACTTGAAGCATTAGACTATTGCAGGGAAACCTCTCTCGTATAGGGGAAGAGTAAGAGTCTCCGCACAAAGTAACTACTGATCTCTATACATAACTGGATATGGCATACAGGCCGTTTTCCTTTTAGGAGACACAGTCGACACAAGTCGACACAAAAGTCATTCTGTCTTCGTTCAGTATTCAGTGAGAAACAAAGACAGAATGACTCTTGTGTCGACTTGTGTCGACTGTGTCTCCTAAAAGGAAAACGGCCACAGTAGACTCCTACAGCTCAGAGACTAGCTGCGTTCTGTTTCTCGCATATGCGCGCATTTGTCTATACTATACGTTACGTGTACTATAGATAAATGCGCGCATATGCATGAAACGGAACGCACTTACTGTCACCAATAAAACACCAGAAGTTATGACAGTTGTGGGCTAATGGGTGCGCGTTCAGACAACTCATCGGTTGAGAGATCATCACTTATGATAGGACTATTCTTCAAAATCTGCTGCGGTTCCAAAAATATGATCCAATCAGAAGTAATTATCTCTCAACCGTTGTGCAACTGTTGAGTTGTCTGAACGCACCCAATGTTTACACTTACCAGCAGGAAAATAAATTTTAATTACTAAAAATCACTTTTGATCTTATTAATGTTATTAGTTATTAATTTTTTAATGTTATTTTTATAATACTTATTTTAATATAAAAATTAAAATTGTTTAATTTTATAATATAATATAGAGCAATGAATAGGGTAACTGTCCCTATTAGTGTGCCTGTCCCGATTAGTGTGCCTTTATATTTAAATAAATATTACAGAAAAACAAGTGAAAATAAATAAGTAGAGTATTTTTTTATTTATAGTTATGATATCAATGGATTTTTT